TCCGGTGGCTGATACGGTCGGTTAATTTCCCCGCTTCTTATCTACCATACGCTAAACCGTGTCGATTATGCTTCTCAGAGGGAGGTCCGGCTGCGTACGTGTTCAAACAGCTTCAAAGTGTTAGCCAAGGTCTTAGTGTAGAGTACAGGTCAGTCAGCAATAAATCGGTTGGTAGCGAACCCGCATACGTTGAGGACGACACACACACACACACACACACACACACACACACACACACACAACAGCAACAACGACAACACGACAAAACATGCCATGAGCGCGCGTTCTGTCTGCCCCAAGGTGCATCAAGCAATGCCAAGCCCACCAACCACGCCACATACACACCCCACAGCCACAACCACTCCACGGCCGCAGCACACTGCATCGTGGTGGGCGTGAACCCAGTTTGTCGCTCCTCCGTGTCACCCACCACCAAGCTGTGCTGAAAATATACTGAAAACACAGCAAAATTTCCCTACCCATCCTCGACCTCTGACAAACAACGCGCGTTGAACTCAAGGGGAGGCACCTACGCACCTACCGACGCAACACACACTCAACACGACCGCTGCACGCTGTAACGGGACGCAGTGAATGGGCGTCCTTGATGGGCTTGCTGAAGGAGGGAGCTGGGAAGATGCGACGGAATCGCTTGCACTGCAAGGCACGTTGGTGGCGGGAATCAGGCGTGGGTACAGCTCTTGTGGTGTGTGTTGCCGCCGTGGCGGTGGCTGCGGTGGCGCTGTTGGCGCCAACTGTGGAAGCGGTTCATGGTGTCTGCGCAGAGAACACGTTTCCGGCTCTGAACACAAGAGGACAGCACTTTCATTGCATCTGCCCAGATGAGTTTATCTGTGAGGGCTGCTCGCACGGGTGCCAACCCGCGATGAAGAACCGCTGCGTCAACGGCTTCATTCCATCCTGCACCACTTGCCGCTGCAGCAAAGGTGCGTGTGTATTTGCGTGTGTTCGTGTGCGTTGTAGTGTTGTGTGTTTGTGTGTGTTTTTGTGTGTTTGTGTGTGGCTGTGTCTCTGTGTGTGTGTCGCGTGCGTGTGTGTGTGTGTGTGGGTGTTGCGTGCGTGCGCGCGCGTGTGTGTGTGCACATGCACTGAGTGCACTTGTGTTGGCGTTTGTTCAAATGCACGAACACACGTGCCTGGTGTAAGTCGAGTACAGTTGCGGGAATACGTCTCACACGTTTCTGCCCCTTGTCGTCCTCCTCGTCGTCCTCGTCGTCCTTCCATCATCAGAAACGGGGGACGAAGAGCCAAGAAGGAAGCGCAAGAAGCGACCGCGTCTCGGCGACCTGGTGGATCGCATCGACGCCCCGTTCTGCGAGGCAGAAGGCGAGGCGTTCCCTGCGTCCAGAAAATACGATGGCAACGGCACGTTTGTGTTTGTGGTCAGCAACGGCCACACGGGCACCACCTTCCTTGGGCAGCTGTCGACGTGGCGCACGGTGTTTGGGCGCGTACCGCGAGGGTACGTCATCGTGCATGAGCAGGAAGCCGACAAGGCACTCGTGCAGCAGCTGCCCTTCCACGACGACTGGTGCCAGCGTGCTCTGGAGTACGTCGCCGACCACAAAGTGCCCTTTATGCAACGAGCGCTGGACAACCTCGGCGCGCACACCTACTTTGCTGCCGGCCACCAAATCATCCTCGGCATGCTGCCTGCGCTGGCAGACATCTTGGGCGACCGCGTGCGGTTTGTGCGCCTGCGCCGCAACCGGTTCGACACCGCCTACAGCTACATGCCCAAGCGCGGTGGGCCGTGTCAGCAGCAGTGCCACTACTGCCTGTGCCCGCTGGACAGGGCGGCGCGCTGCCCAGCGCCATCGGGGGACGTGTGGAACAGCCTCAACAGCTTCCAGCAGTACCTCTGGTCCGTGGACGAGGTGGAGTGCCAGTGGCAGGCGCTGCTACAGTCGCGACCACATCTGCAGCACATGGAAATCAACTGGAGCGGCACCATCGAGCCGTCCACCATGCAGACGCTGGCGTCGTTCCTCGGCATGACGTTTGCGGAGGATGTGCAGGTGGCGCAGACGGTGCAGTCCAATGAGCACGTGAGCAGGAAGAAGCGCGGGGAGAAGAACATGACCCTCTTGCACGAGTGGGCGCGGGACTACGAGCAGAGGCTGCGACTGCCCCACTGCAACGACTACACGTGCATTGTTGATGCTGCTGACACGCAGCAGCATGGTACCTAGGCTCTCAAGTTGTTTTGCCGCGAGGGCGGTGTGGGTGGTTGTGTGTGTGTGAGAGAGAGAGTGTGTGTGTGCGTGCGTGTGTGTTTGTGTGCAAGCGTGTGTAAGTGTGTGTGTGTGTGTGTGTGTGTGTGTGTGTGTGTGTGTGTGTGTGAGAGAGAGAGAGAGAGAGAGAGAGAGAGAGAGAGTGTGTGTGTGTGTGTGTGTGTGTGTGTGTGTGTGTGTGTGTGTGTGAGGAGGCAAGTGCAACAACTTACTTACCTTTGACACAGTGTGACAGAACATTCGAAAATATCCACCCGTGTATGATGGAAGCGATGTAAAAGTTGCACACACGGCGTGCGTGATGCACTCAATCAATGCACACGCGTCTGCGTTGACATATGTGTGAACGTGTGGTTGCTTCCTGTGGCGTGCTGGTGTTTGCATGCATGCCCTTGCTATTGTGCGCAGGGGTTGGTCAGTTAGAAAAAAAGGTTGCTTCCTTGCCATCACTTTCATTTACTACAAATCGAAAAGACGCACGCCAACCTCTGAGCATGAAACAAGTTTCAGAGTACACCCACACGCACCCACACACACCCACACACCCACACACACCCACACACACACGCACACTATTCTCTCACACTCATGCAAGCACGTGTTTGGGCGCTTTGCGGGCGGCTGTCCATCATGTGACGACTGCTGCTGCTGCTGTGTTGACTGTGGTGTCTGTCCAGGTGTTGACTGTGGTGTCTGTCCAGGTGCTGTTGGTGTCGTTCCTGACGCTGTGGCCGCAGCCGTGGAGGGTGGGCCCGTGCTTGTGGCCGTGCTTGCAGGGGGCGGTGTTGCGTACGATTGCGTGTGTGTACCACCAGCAGCAGGCGTCGCCATGCGAACGCCGCCGCTGCCTTGCGGGTGCGTTGATGCAGGTGTGGAAGCAGGTGTGGACGTGTACGGTGATGGTGCGGGCGCGCCGCTTGCCGTGTGGATATGCGATGATGATGACGCCGACGCCGACGATGTGGGTGTCGTTGTCGGTCCACCACCACTCACAGCCCTGCTCGCTGGCGTGTTGGTGCTGCTGCTGGTGTTGGTACTGGGCTGCGACCGTGGCTGATACGCACGTGCTGATGTGGTTGCTGTGGTTGTTGCTGTGGTTGGCGCGTCCCCGTTTGCGAGCGCGGCGGTGTCGTCCACCCAAATGCGGATGAGCGTGTCCGTTGCCCAAGCTGCATGATGCAATCATTTTTCGTGTCGGGTGACCTCGTTGCCTATGTCGATGTTTTTTTGTTCTTTTTATTTTTTTGCCTGGTCTTTGTTCTGTTTATTTTTTTTTTTTTTTTTTTTTTTCTT